TAGCAACAATCCTACATTGTCACTTAGTTGGAAAAACACGTCTTCTAACTTGGAGGTTGATATTTGTTAAAGTAACCGCCTTCCCTAAATAGTGAGAAGATTTATAGACCGTATTTGAAACACGGGGTCACCTTGATTCAGTTCATCAGAACAGATAGAAGACATAAATTGCAAGATGCAACCATTGCTTTAAATCTTCTCAGTTACGTATTGAAAACATGTTGATTCGTGTACGAATGGGGCACAGAGCAGCCCCGTGGAATACATAGTGCCGAGCGAACTTAGGAAACGGTCTGGTAGATCTGATTGTCTGCCACCACAGCGAGCACACTGTGGGTTAAAAGTTTCTGGTGCTGTCTGGGAACAGGTAACAGAATTCAATGAAACCCGGCGACTTTCAGCAAGAGTCTTATCAAGTTTATCTCTTTTAAATTGAATTAAGTCTGAAAATTTCTCAAGGAGAACGTTACCAAAAAAACCAAAGACAGAATTATGGATAAGGTTCATGGAAGACTTGCAAAACCAAAGAGATGCCTATGTTCCTCACAGATAAAACCAGTTTTGTTCACAATTTTCCCACGCTGCAACTGACGCAAGGGTAAAGAGAAGCTTCATCATTGGGTGTGAAGTTCAAGTTGCCGCCCAAAAAATATCAACTAGTTACAAACGGAAGCTCAATTCGAAAACCCAGATGATGAAATGAAAAGTCTGACCCCACCTTAGAGGACAAAGCAGGATGATTTAAGGCCGAATTGGTTTATATTTCTGAAGTATTCAGTTACATCCCCGATCCACAAAGGAGCTACCTATCACATAAACACTAGTTTGCAATTAGACAATTAAAATAAATGAAGGATGCGGTATTTCTTCAGCCGGATAAGAGATCAAATGTCTTCGTCATGAACAGAAAATACTACCTTGAAAAGATGGACAGGGTTTTGAGGACAATTTATCCCGGATTCGATTCCAGTGAATAACATGCTCGTAGAGAGACAGGCCACACGACATCTCCAGATATTACGCACGTATGGATTAGTCTCTGGGGGCCTATACAAAAACGGAAACCGATTGCACTCAAAGGCCAAAAATGAAGGTTTCTTCGAACATTCACAAGTGAGATGTTCAATTGAGATTTACTTTATGAATGCAGAAATCAGCTTATCTCAAATGGGCAAGCTGGGTGGTGGATATTCCAACTCCTTTCCGGAAAAGCATGACACTACACTGTCTAATGGGCTCATCTGAACTAGCAGGATTCCCGGAAAATGTTTCCTGCCGATGTTGATTCTGTTTTTACCATTGTACTCCGGAGGGAAGCTATAGATTATTTATGCGACATGGTATCAACACTCAGCCCCAACTTGCGGATTCCTATTGCACACTTCCAGAACCTCATTCTTTTATGTACAGAACACTCTTCTTGATTCTGAATGGCAATCTTACAAACAGGTCAGTGGTGTTGCTGTGAGCAGCCCTCCTAGATCTACACTGGCGGACATATTTTAGGGGATGACGGAAAAAAATGTACAGCAGAACATCGTCCTGTTTACTCTGTACAGGTGTCATGTCGATAATATTTTGATTTTTACGGAGGAAGAACTGTTCACTAATTTTTTTATTCTGACCAACTCTATACATCCCATAATAACACTCACATGTGAAACAGAGAGTGCTAAAAGTCTTGCTTTTCTGGATATCCTGATGACAAGACGTGCAGATGGAACAATCCGAAAGGTCACTCGTCGTTAAGGAACTTGCAGTGGACAATACCTTCAGCTTTCTAGTTTCGTGCTAGTTGGCCACAAAAAAGGTTTGGTCAAAACCCTCTTCCACAGAGCACGTATAATCAGCAGTACAGACAGATTTGAAACCGAGGAAAATATCATAACCCAAACCCCCTGTGCAAATGGATACCTTGCTAAGTTATTTGAAATCCACAAAGAAGAAAAGCCTGAAACCATACAAGTCCACATGATTAAGAAAAAAACGAGTCAAAATCTGAAGCATGCTCCAAAGCCCACCTACCGGGCCACTGAATTACAGGTTTTGCAAACCACCAAGGAATTAAATCAGCAAGCCTATTCAAACAGTGACACGAACCCGAATACCTCTCACGTCATCTTTCAGTTCACCTACAGCTGCGGTGACACCTACTTAGGCTGAACGAATCGAACTCTCAGTCAAGGGATGAGGGCAGCATGTACCGAAGTGGCTAGTGCAGTGAATACTCACTTCCAGCCCGGACAATAAACGATCACGGGAAACCGGCTTCATTGATAGCCAAACATCTTGTGGCCTTTTGCCATCTGGCTGATCCAGGTCAAGCATTCCGAGTGATTGTTCGGAATCGGAACTCTAAGATCCTAACTTTCGTGAAGCTGCATTAATAAGTAGTCTAAGGCCTCCAATGTGTACGCGGGAAGGTTTGGCCCACAAAGTGTTTGCTGTGGTGGCAGACAATCAGATCTACCAGACCGTTTCCTAAGTTCGCTCGGCACTATGTATTCCACGGGGCTGCTCTGTGCCCCATTCGAACACTAATCAACATGTTTTCAATACGTAACTGAGAAGATTTAAAGCAATGGTTGCATCTTGCAATTTATGTCTTCTATCACTTCTGATGAATAGGCTGCACATTCGAGCCAGGAGTCTGAATCTTATATGACGGAAAATCCACTTGCAATTTTCACATCCAAAAATCTAAAGCGGCAAACTGAAATCGAACTGGTAACATCCCACTTACTGGGCAAATACTTTACCAACTAAGCTTTCGCGGTAAGGCCAGTTTAGCGTGAATAACGCAATTAAGTATCCAATGATGAGTGGACCAAAATATTCTATGAATATATTTCAATGTCCATCGGATCACATTCAGCCGTGAGCTGTTCGTCCCGTTGGGAATGGCTGACGATGCTAGCACAGTGATTAAAACCAGGACAGTTGCCGTATATCACTGGAATAGTGGTACCTTGCGTTAGTCACACCCAGATGATCAGTCCGCGATAGCTCTTTCAATAGACAGTCTGCCCGATAAACGGAAAGTTGCTGATTCAATCCCAGCTAGGAGATTTAAACTTCTGAAAGTGAAAAATATAAGTGGGTTTTCCACTACATGTATAGAAAAGATTTCCGGGAAGTTAATCATTGGTAATATTTAGACGGAGACAACCTTAAGTGGTTAAGGTCGGGAGCGAAAAATAATGGTAAATTGGTCAAAGAACAGATTATTTCAGATGTTCACCTGTTTACAACGCTGCCACATAAAACTACCAAACTCTGAGATGCAAACGAAATAAAACAAAGTGTGAAGGCCGTATATCCACCGGATCGAGATGAGGAAACGTATACTGGTTGGGTGAGACAGTGCAAGATAAACATAGCGTTTCAAGTTCGAAGAATAGCTTATGAATAATTTAAGTAATATTTATCTACTCCAAATGATACCCCAATCCCAAATAAAACTAATTCAAAGTTTGCGTAGTTTTTGATTTTTTGTCGTATGAAAACCTTTTTGCTCCAGCTGGAACATCCCACTTTGTTCAAAAAGCTTTGAAACTTCAATGAACTGAAAATTCACACTTAGAAGTGCTAAATTCATGGCTGCTGATCAACTGTCGCTGAAAAAAATTCTAGCTAGTCATGGTTTCTCTCGAAAGATATTCTGTTTCCTTTGTTGAGTTTACTGACATGACTAATAAACTCTCATTTTTCTAGTCGTTTTTAGGAGCATTTCTGTGTTTGTCCCGGAGATTTGACATTGATTGCAAAGATCTATCAGATTTGTTTACCTCGAATACTTCAATAACACATTGCACGTGTTCTTTCTGACCTGTTTAATTGTAGCAGTGAAATACGGACTTGTGGTTTTCAGGGAAAATCATGATTTTAAAGGCCGCGTAAACCCATTCGGATAGCTGAGTAAAGAAAAACTCACAATGAGCAACTCATTATTATATTGTCCTTAAGTTTGTCATATCAGTTACTGGTACAGTTGTAACTTTTCTCTTACCTTTGATATAAATAGCTTGCATTCGAGCATATTTGTAGGTAAAATATATTCTTACCTAACTAGCCGATCATTATGTAATCTGGTCAGCAAGTGCAATCATCCCACTGAATATTCATCACTATTGAGTTATTGTGTTAGAATGACAAAACGTGTGTAGGTTTAAATCGTCTGTAAAAGACGAGGTTACATCAAGTAACGAATGAGCTCTAAATACATCTCGTGAGCGGGCAAGATAGAGAGGATAGACACCCAACAATTCGTGAGGTAAAACGGGAGAAGGAATGTGAAACACGATATACGCCATAGTCACATCTTGAATCTTGGTAAGTGATAACGATACCAACTTTTGCTCACCATCTTCATTCCTTAAGATGCCATTAACAAAGTACTGAAAATGTCATTAGTCTAACGGATTATTATTCAACAAAATAATTCGAAAACGTACAACTTATTCCTTCTCATGTAATAATTTTTTTGCTCACTTGCCTTTCTAACAGAGCGGAGCTTTAGTTAAAAACAGGCCCTTGTATTTAACCATGAAAATCATCTTACCAGGAGCCACAATGGGATGATAGTAAACAGCGTTATCCAATGGTTCCTTCGTAGAGATAGAGATACTCCTTAACCTGATTAGTAGTGGTTGTTTCAGTAGTAAACACCTAGATAAATAGGCTGTTATCATTTTTAGTTCTTGGTTTTAATTCTTTTCACAATAACCAGGTACTTAGAAGTTTTTACGGAAAGATTTTGGGGCAATAAGCCGGTTCAGTGTATGCTGCTCATAATTTTTTCTCTTATGCAGTATAGCAATAGCAAAACAAGGTGTTTATTCCGATGTAATTCAGAGTTATTATTACTGCTTTTAAAGAATTCCACTTTTGTGATTGTAACTTCGGTATCAATAAGGTGAAAGTACATATTTACCGGGCAAAAAAACTGGAATAATTACCAAAATGTACTTTCTAACATCTACCACTCCTGGAAAACGTACCTTTGCCTCTTTTACCACCTGCAGTTGCTCCGTACATTTTGTCTTCTCGTTGGAAAAACTTCGAGAAAATTCTTCAATTCGGATTGATGATACAATCATAAGCCGATCGAAGATTCAGAAATTACTCGGCATCATCTGCGTTGCAAAGGTCAAAAGGATTTTTATAAAAAGGATTTACAGTAAAACATTCAACATTTCACTTGCAACTGAGTAAAATCACGTTGGAATCAGGCACTGATTCTCATATATCAAGTTATATATGTACAATACAAAACACGTGTTCAAATCTCTCACGTGATTGGCCAGGTAAATTGCACACTGATTGGTCTACTGTATCATGATAAACTGAACATACAATCCCACGAAAAAAACAATTATGGTTGGTCACGGAGAAGGGGAAAGATATTTGCATTATTAAAATAAACTAGCTGTAAAATAATAGTGATTATCATGATTGCTCGAACAGACAATCGAGAACTGGTGTCATTCACTACAAAAGTTGTTTGCTTAGCCTATCTTGTTGGTAGCTAATCGATGACCTAGCCTCGGTTGACGATGGAGAGCTTAGGACCTAAAAGCCGATCGCAGCGCTTATAACCTTAAGATAAATGTCAGCTGTATTTTATTTTGCATATTCTTGCCACATTAATTTCAGGTGACACATGTGACTAAGATCAAAAAGCATGTCATTCGAGTGACAGTTCACCTACAGTTTTTAGTGAACAGTCTTTGGCAAAAGTCTTACTGGTGATGATATGAACTTTGAAGTTTAAGCTCTTGAACTGCAAAACAGTGTGACAAAGAACTGCCATTTTGGGTGGCCTTTTCTTATGGATACTCAAATAAGACATCTGTAAAGCATGGCTAGTTTAATCGATTTGTTCGTAAACGGAGTGACCGAAATAAAGGAAATACAAAATACAAGGAAATACAAAATATAAAAGTTAGCATGCGCTGAAAATTACAGTGCACGCAAACTACAAGCGAAAGTGCTTGATTCAGATATGAAATTTAACTATCGTTTGAACAATAATCTTTGCTTTTGGTGTTGATAGATGCATGTTTCCTGATTCGGAGGAATTTACCAACCGTGCAGTGGCAGAGGCCTGCTAAAGCTCTGTGAATTTTGATATTCGAAAACTCCTTTAACAATTTCAATAAATCAATCATTTAGATAGCTGGATGAAACAGTTGAACATTTTTCATGGTCGTATCAGTGGTTGAACACTACAAGAAGAGCATTACTTAGGAAATAGGTGGTTCAGACAGTTGTAGCCATCATTCGCATCAGTGTTTATTTTGGCGTCACAAAAATGACCAGTAAGGGCAGTGGTAGATTTGTGGCTAACTTGCTTCCTTACTTTTTTAGCGGAGTGAGTCATGGGACGGACGAGCAGAGTTTGTTCAGTACTGGGCCCGAGGCTTGAGACAAAAAATCACGAGCGACCGGAATGCCAATCGATGGCATGCATAGGTAGAATAACAGAAGAATCGTGCTGAGCGGTGTTTTGTTTCAACATTAGCCCTTTAGAAGGCATATTCGCCAGTGCCAGTTGGATCAATAGGCTTTGGGCAGAGACTGAAAACAAGAGTGAAAGCTAATCTAATGAGATTGTTCACGAGCAGCGAATAGTTCTTCCCAGTTTAGTGGGACATTTTATAACATGAACTGGATATGTGATAACGCAACTACGTCACTTTGAAGTTTATGTTGCGATACATAAAATTCAGGCTTCACTACATCTTCCCAATTTATTTATTTCGTTCAAATGGTCCTTCAGATGATAGAATTCTCCAAGTTGCTGAATCAGTAGCTAGTGACCTCACAGTTTGTATAACGAGCGAACATAAAAGCGAGACTCATCGCTGTCCGTGTACTTTATTCAAAGCATGTAATAATCGTAAAACTGCTTTTTACGGAATGATCTTCGTCGCATACCCTTGGTACCGTCATTTTCATCCAGTATGGTAGTTGTACGGTATGACTCGCCGAGTGCTAATTTCAATATTTCAATGAAGTATATCCTAACAAAGACTACCAAACTTCCCCTTGAAAATTTCAAAATAGTCTGTACTCTTCCACAATGTTGCTATTATAGCTGTTCATACTAACTACGGAGGATTATAGGTGTTAGAGAGGGAATATGGGCCTACTGTAGCTGCAGACTGCAAGTGCGAAAACCCGTTGAGACACTTGATGAGTACGGACGCATGGAATTTCCAAGCCTTACAAACTGGATAAGTGCAGTCCCCTTCGAAGGAGCTACTTCTTAACGTTTTACGGAGCTAACTGTGAATATCTAAGTCTAAGGTAAGAATGTTTGGTTGGTTCCGAAATAAAAACGTACTGAATTGTAACCGTATGGATTCCGAATATATTCCTTCAACTAGGATCTTGCATGGATTACCACTGTAAATCTTACACTAAAGCGAGACTCAGATTGTTACAAGAAGCTGTCGTTCAGTGTGTTATAATCAGAGTAAACACAAAGGATATGAGTGATAACTTATACACACGGGGCTAAATTTATACCGGTATTCTCCAGCCCCTTTGATTCGGTTGATAACAAAACAAAACCTAAACTTACCTAAATGATAGACCGATGGAGTGCAAACGTAAATCACCTGAAAGGTACAGGTTTCAACCAGCCGGTCCGATTGGTTGTGGATAAAACTTCCCCATAGTCGCTCAGATCGGCACCACACCTGACCTATCGGGAATTGCCTCATTTTAATTGGACAATTGCAGCTATAGGATTTGTCCAATTCACTTCACACACGTGGAAACACAGAACGAAACTTGTTTAAAAATTCTCTATTAGCATTTTACAAACATGGTGATCATTTTCGTTTCTTTACTTCCGTTCCGCATGATCTACTGCCTGACTCAAGCTTATTAAAAGGAATTGTATTAGAACGATAATCGAATGATTCTAAAAAGTTCGAGTCGTAGGAGAGACGGGAGCCATTCCATAGCCTCAAAACAGCAAACAATATCTTGCAACTCTATGGTACAGTAATAACCGGTAAATGTGGTATAGTTTTGTAGTTTAGGGAGATGTTTAAGGGAGTTGTGTTTTATAACTTTCCGTAGAATTCACCAGAAGATCAAAGACCGGTAAAACATGGTTTGTAGGCATGTTATTGATTATTTTGTAGCCTAAAATAACTTCTTTGCCAAAACGATGCAACCGTTAGACACATGTTTTGCAAAACAAACAGACTAGATCTGAGAGTCGTTCGGGATTTACCTCTGCAATATTCTAAAAAATGAAAACAACTCGAATTAAATTTAGCTGAAAAATTACCTTAACTCGTGACGGTTATTGCAATGATACAACTGACTAGCTGGGAAGCGAGGTAAGTTTGCACACTGGGTACTATCAAGTTGACTGTCATCACTCGTCGTTATTTGACAATCCAGTGAGTAGTTTGTGTACGTTATACTTTTGGAATAACGCAGATAAGTAGAAAGGCATTTGGCGTTGTTCCCAAACTCGTTTGGTTTACTACTTGTTTCGGTAACTTTATTTATAAACTTCACCCAACCACTAAGTTCGAGAACAGCTAAAACCGCAAATCGTTTTATGTCAGTGATGCTGACCGTCCAGCATCTGGATGATCGAGGAAATTGGTGGTACTGATACAACTTTATTGACTCACCAAGTGAGTATGAAAACAACCAAATTGTGATACTTCTCGGGAAAACCACTGAATAATGGTATCCGGTGTTTTGAACAAGGAACTAATTCAATACATACGTGAGTAAATCCAGAAATTCTCAAGCAAATGAATCAGTTTCAAATGAAGCAAAGGACTACTGGAACTGACTTTGATGATGAAGCTCCCAAATTTGCTAACAGAAAACTAAGTGCAATGTTGTAACGTGCTTTTGCGTTAGATAGTTTTACCGATCAACCTTTTCTTAGGTCACTAGTTCGTCACCTATTCAGGTTTAAAGCTTAAAAAGGGAGTTATTGTGCTACGGGTTACTAAATTTGCCACATACTTTTCCACTTTAAAATAGTTGATAATAATATAAATGACAAATCATTCTAGTAAAAATGAAGTAAATATGTTAATCAACGATAAAATCCATACGCTATATTGGAGTTCCTTTGACTGTTTTGCTACTCCAATAACTTTTAACTTTGAAGACTTCAGCAGGTTTCCTTATTGATAAAAATAATTGACGATTGGGCCTGCAAACAAGTAGTTTATATTTGACATTTTCTATCCATACAGGAAATAGAACCACCTAGCCTCATGTTTTGGAACGCTAATTCTCAGAGAATCAAGAAGTAGTGGTTTACTAATGTGAGTAGGAATCAAGTAACCCCGTGGACATAAACCTAGTGCTATTTCATACTGTTCTGTTGACGTTTGTGAGTTGTAAATAAAAAATATCGTAATCAAGTGAGACCAATTCATTGGAATTTTCTACTAAGAGCCGGAAAAAGGAACTTTGTTCCCAGTCAGAAATTCACCATCATAAACATACTGCCTTAGTACTAGTTTTGTGAGAAGAATAACAATAGGCGAGGTTACAATCTCTTTCTCCTTTCTTATTACCTAACGAGCTTTTATGGTACTGGAAGTATTTCGCGCATGCGACCATTAGTATTTTATCTAGTTAAACTAAAGAAGATGCTCTCAGTTTCATTCGCGGAGGAAAGTAGTAAACTACATTTCCAAATATGAGAAAAAGTATCAACTGAAAGGAAATTTAAAAGAAACAGTAGCATATTGAATTAGGAACAATTTTTATGTGGTAGAGAATTGTTTTATATCACAGAAAACGATTCAAAAAAATGAAATGGCTGTTTTTACCGTTAGAAAAACATTTTCTCTTTGCTAACCCTTATTCTGATACGCTTTCGCTTTCGCCTAAAGCTGCTTTCAAACGGACTTAAGACGATGAAGATCGCAGTGCACATCTACAACACTCAAATATATCTAACCACCTGGATAATTTAAAGTTCCTAAACATATTCCTGTTACTGAACCCCTTTTGACTTTTCTCCACTTGAATATCCCAATGAAACTTCATAATTTTGCATTCAGAACTAAACAGCTTAGTACAACAGCGGTATTCTATTGTAGACCATGACACAGACAATTCTCAGGGAGTTACCAAACATAATTCGAATCAGTCAATAAACAGTCAGGTTACGTCTTCGATCCAAAAGCCAATGAAGCCACACAACACATGCGGAACAATTTATTCAGTAAAATTTCATCGCAGTTACCCAGTAATGACTCTTCTTTGAAAAGGTGCACTCACAACACAACTGAAATATCTAACTGCTTTCAGAACTATCTCTCTTATCAGATCCTTTTATTCCGTATTACTTTGCTTGAAATCCAGTACTGACGTAGTCAATGAGCAAAGCAAAAAAGCGGTTCGATCTGATTATGAATGCTTGATTGATGACAATGGCAACATTGACAATCCTCATCGAGAAACGAACAAAACCACGTACATATATCTCGACTATTTCAACAAACGTCAATTAAAACGCCTTGATCGATTATATTATCTCAAAATGTATGAGTCACTTGCCGTGAAAGTAGCATTTAATGATCGTGACAAAGGTAGATTTCATCAAACCTCATAACTCTTTGTTTCACTGATCTATTGTAGAATGACTTATAATGAAATTATACTAGTATCTGAAGAAATACCGAAAGTGTTTATCCACAGGTTGCACGAAATATTGTTTGAATGATATCGACAGAAAACTCGGCCCATACGAGTTATGCAAAACTCAACCCGCTCAGCCTATCGAATGTTATAACCATTATTTTCTCTCAGGCATCTCAAATAAAAGAGAGAATTTGTCCACTATTAGGTGGTTATAACAATAAATCACGAGAAATGAAGGGTGAATTATCCACGAATAAATAAATAATTAACAACGATGGAAAACCACAGCTATCCTGTGGTTCCTGACAAAGCTGGGGAGTGCTTACCTAATCATCGAAATATCGTTTCCATCGATATCCGAGAGGGAACTCACTAGCTCCGCCAGCGCTGTCTTGGTCGTTTGGTGTTCACATTTCTCATAGTCAGTCAAACGTGAGTATGAGCGTTCACGTGGTCTGAGAAGGTGGTGACTGTTCAGTATCTCATTCATAAACACCAGGGCGTTTTGTCTCTTTCCAAGGGAGAAACCTATACGGAAATTCTGACCGAAGCTTCTCTCATCCGGTTAAAGAAAGATTTTACCTGCCCATGTTTGCGAAAAATTATCCTGAAACCCATAGATTGCTACGTTTTTCAAATATGTTTGCTGAGAACGAAATAAATTACAATATACACTCTTCTGTATGGTGTATCATTCAATATTTTTACACAATTTACATTCTGTGAACTGGTCAAAGTTTCAATTCTGGTCGTGTGACTCGTTCTATGGGGTTAACCTCTCATAGCCATTACCTAATAAAAACGATTCAGCCAGGAAATCTTTTAAATCACGTCATTCTTATGACTCGTACTTTTATTCCGGCTGAGATTATCAGGCCAGATCTACCATTTACAAAAAAAACAAGAACTTTCCAATCACTGAAATGGTACTGTTATGGCGTAGCTAAATGGGCCAAAAGAATTCCTGTGTTTTGGCTTCTGAGTTTTGCATTCATTGACTCAGCAATCAATGACAACTCCTAACCTTACTCTCACAACAGCCCCATCCCTGTTTCCTATAAAATGTACTAAATATCCACGCAGTTAATGCTCCATCCCAACCGGAATGCAATCCTGAGTTATACAGACCTCAACGATAAGATTATCCACAGTGACTTTCAACTATTTCCGTCAAATCAACACTCGTTACTGCTCTAATGAGTCACCGATTTTAGATAATGCTGATTCTTCACCCAATTCGCAAATGACTGCTACGCCAGGCAATTTTCTTTTAATGTTTCAAGCTCGATTACAGTACTGCAAACATCTACAGGGCTCGACCAGTGAATGGTTTTATTCAGTACACAGTGTCAGTGCCCAACTCAAAATTGATTAGTTCAATCAGTATAACATAGTTTGCAGATGCTGACATATTAATCTGTTACCGAGGTACTAATGTTTGAACCAAAGTCAAGTGAAAATTGATTTTGTTCTTTTACAAACAACAATCACAATCGATCTCTCCGTTAAACCCTCCAGAAAGGAAAGAAAACATTTCCCTCATAGAGCAGATGATTTGTTCGTGCGCGTTTTATTACAGTGAAACGTTAAACATCCGTGTTTGCAGAAAATTACCCATAGAGCAAAATGTCCACCAGCGAATTGATGACTCGAACTAAATCTAACGACATATTTCACCGTAGTCATTGTATGATCCATGCCTCTCTATTTCTAGTGTAACTCCCGAAAGTGGACATCAAGGTTGTATGCTACTTTCTCAAAGAAATAGATAAAAATGCAAATCAGTCAGAGAAAATGACTGTCGCACATCTATTACCTGTGCTCCCATTCACCTAGCCAAGCGTAGTTCAGAGGTCTATGGTTTATCGAGAAAATCTGATTCATTTTACAGTGAAGGCAAAACCATTAGGCATAACTGATAAATCCGGTTTATGTGAAGGAAAAGATTCAGTCCATTAATGGGGGAACAAAAATCTACGGAGAATTAAAAACCCCGTGAGGAACAATAATCATATTGCAATGTCAGAAAAGTGTAACCATGTGAAAGTAGCATAAATGAGACTGACCGTGGGATTCAGCTGTT